AGCAGTAACAGATGTTTATGTATTTTGAAACATAACCACAAATTTACAACATGCTTCTCTCAGATTATCAAGTTCAGAAGTCGGCAACTGTGAATATCATGCCATCCCATCAAAGATGTCAACACTTACTGGTAAAAACCAGCAAAGAAAATCAAAATGATGCTCAACATGAGCTTAACAAAAGAGTACAAGAAAGGCCACAAACCATCATCCTTTCCCGACTTAAACAATCACATTTTGGTGGAGTGTGTGTACATTTCCATAAATGGTAGACACATGTAAAATGTACATGTACATGTATACTGGTATGTTATTGTACCACGTACAGTACTGGTGAGAGTAATGTACATGTAGCAGTACATGTATCATGTACCGGTAAGCAGTGTTGTACTCGTACTCAGAACTCATAATCGAGTACTACTCCAGTACCGTTTTCAGAGTACTCGTACTTGTACTTGGACGTCCAAGTACTTGAACTCGGACATCTAAGTACTTGTACTCGAACTACACATGTACAGTTCTTGTACTCGGGCTACAAAATACTCAGAACTCGACATCCAAAAATTGTACTTGAGCATCAAAGTACTCGTACTCGATTAACAGTACTCGATAACAAAATCCTTTAAGTTAACTTACCACGGCCGTTAAAATAAGGTACAAAAATATCGACTCCAATGACCCGATATTCAATACGGTTCTGACAAAGAGAAGGCCGAACGTGGGACCATTAACGTATATGACCCATTCGCCGTCTGTGTGTGTACTTAACCAATGTACGCAAATTATATTGTGGTACTCCAGAATGGTCCCGCGATTTACTTGGGCATTGGTAGTCTAGTTCCTGGACCCGAAAATTCTAACAACGCACCTAGCATACAGAAAATCACAGGCATGTGAATAATTGAGTCTGGAAAATAGACTTCGCCGCGCCGTGCACGTTGTGTCAACTGCTGCAACGCACGTGTAGTAACCATGACATTGCTAGCCAGATCACTTGTTCTTGTAGCCATGCCATCTGCATTCAGTGTTTCTTTTACACAGTGGCAGGTCTTAGAGTCTCTACATGTAAATGAAGACAAAACTACTTTTGAATTAGAAGTTCTTGTACTGGTACTCGGAAGTGTACTTGTACTCGAAAACCAGTACTTGTACTCGGCAGTCAAAGTACTCGACAGTACTTGGTACTCGGAAAAAAGTACTCCACTACAACACTGCCAGTAAGTGACGCAGATGCATTTATGCACCTTCTTAAAACTCCAGAACATGGACTTGGACTGTGGAAATGTTGTACAAGTCCATTGCTGTTGCTCCCACTGTGGAGAAGGCTAAGCCAAATATTACAAGAAGTTGTAGGCATCGAAAAATTAATCCCCCTCCCCCAAAAATCAACTACCGGTAGATGTGCAAACTGCACATGTACATCAATGCACCTGTTTACCATTTTGCACTACTTGCAAATGTATTGATATTATAGCAGAGTCCCATGATTCTGAGCAACACACCGTACGCTACTCAAGATGTACATGTACCGGACATTTTGTGACCCCTGACCCATACAGTTTATTGTGCAAACACTACATGTACACCATACATGTACTTGTACATGATCTATTCAAGTATTCACATTGTGTTTTGGTTTATTTTTTCAAGGCGCTTACTGATGTGTGTCAGTAATATACTCTGCAGCTTTCAGCAATACTAGTACTCTACACTGTACATACGTACTCGTAGGTACACGTA